AGATTCTCTCTCTCTCTCTCTCTCTCTCTCTCTCTCTCTCTCTCTCTCTCAATGGCTCTTCCTAACATTAGTCATGTTCTATCTGCTAACTCCAACCCTGTCTTGGCATCACCGACTATTGCACAGAGAACACTATTGCACCCTCACACTTGAATCCTGAAAACCAAAATGCTATCAACTTCACATTATTTTCTAAAGCACAGTTTGTGTTACAGTATTTCTCAATCTTGGGATTTCTCAACTTACAATACAGTGTTTTCTGTGCCAGCGTTCTCTGGTCTGGGGAAGGTGATGTTAACACACTTGGCTTTCAGATCATTGTTGGGATATTTGTTGATAGAACCTGGGGAGAGAAGGGGCTGGTTAGGTTAGACTTTATCCTCTTACATTATGACTGTCACCCAAAGTCATGTCACCTTTTCCTGTTGCTGATGGGTAGTTTCAAAAACAAATTAATTTTAAGGGTCTAGGCAAAGTAGACACACTTTGATATGCAAATACCCTATTTTGACTAGTCAACAAGACGTAGCAATAACTGAATAAACATTCCCGTGTTCTGTATGTCACGAGTTCATGATATAATTTAAGGACATCTGTTAATTCCTCCTATAATTTGTTTTCTCCTGAGAAATGGAGTGTCTTTCTAGGAGACTTCATTAGTTATTGAAATTACCTGGTTTTTAAAGCTTAGGGTTGGGAAAAGACACTGTTTTTTGCCTGCTATTAAACATAACTTCTAAATTTCAAAATTCCCTAGGGCTATGTGAGTTCTGGGGCACTGTGATGACCCAAAAAACTAGCAAACTCCCAGCAGCTACAGTCAGCCATCAGAGTAGACTCTGCCCTGTTCCAGAGTCCCAGTATAGGCCAAGACTTGTTTGGCACCCTAAGATCTTGAGTGTGTTGTTGTGCCTATGTCTAAAATGACCTCATGGACAGAATCTGGCGCAACCACTCTGAGTTCTCTGTGTAAAAACGCCCTTGAAAAATCCCTACATTGCTGTGCCTGAGCTAGCTGTCTGGGGTAGAGGCTGTTGAAGACATCTATGCCTTGAGGTCAGAATTCCAGCTAGAGCCAAGGTTAATTTACAATGCAAAACAAAGCAGAAGTCTTTGGAAGAGGTAGAGGATGGTGACAGTGGTCCTGTTTATTATAGCAACTTACCTTAAGATTTCAGTAACTGAAGTTTAGTTTAAAGGACAAAAATATCGCTGTGGGGTCAGAATGTGTGGGGTTGAGTCTAGAATTTCCCAGTTATTTATTGTGAGTTGTTAAGCAATTTATTTAATGTCTCTGAACCTCATTTTTTCCTTTATTAAGAAGGGGTTATGATTATTTTCTTTTGAGGACTGAATATTAAATTAATATGATCCATCAAAAGAACTTGGCACACAGTAAGCAATTATAAGTAATGTGCACATAACAAACAGATTAGGTTATAGGAAGCTCTTCACTTAGCTGAAGATTTCCTAGCAAGAACTCTTACAGGGAAGCATCAGTGTTCAAGGTCAACAAAAGCTCAAGTTTTTCTGAGATTTTTTTCACTGCACTTACATTCCACCACTTATAAGTGAAGTGAGGACCATTTGACTACTTCCACTGATGGATGGTACAAAGAGACATTAAATCAGTTGGAAAGAAAATCTTTTTTTAAAGACTGGGGATTGAATCTAGGGTTTCATGTATGTTAGACAAGCAATCTACCACTGAGTGCTTCCCACAGACCTAGAAGAAAATGTCTTTTTTTGTGTGTGTGTGGAATTGAGACTTGAACTTGGGCCCTTGCACTTGCCAGGGAAGCATCTATTCTAATAAGCCATTTCCCCAGCCCCGAGAATGTCTTGAATAACTTACGTCTAATTACGTGAACAAATGGCTTGATGAACTTGATGATGTAGTTCAAATCTGGCTTGTGGGTCCTGCCAAGCTGGACTAAGTGATGATCCAGGGGGTGGCTGGCTAATTCTTCTAATTCCTTGTCATTGTGTAGAGGACCAAAGGAAAATACAAATATGGTGTAGCCTTGACACTTCGCTCTCAAAGATACATTCCTTAAGATTTCCTTGTCTAGAGGGTTGGTTTCCCCAGCAGATATTATAAAGATAACTCTGTTTTTCCTCAGATTAGGGGTCCCTACAAAGACATTATCAATTGTCCACTGCAGGGCATGGCCAATAAAAACATCTCCATTGAGCTGTTCAAGAGAATGTTGGACGTGATGTTTCATTTGATGTATATTGCTATAAGTAATCAAATCAAATTCCAGGTAGACAGGGCATTCTTCAGTGTCAGGCAGATATCCAGGAGGAGAGTAGGTCAGGACAGCCACTCTGTCTCCTAAGGTGGATGTCAGGGGATCTGGTGTAACATGGAAGTAATCTAGAACTGAGGTTACAAAAGCTTTCACTTCCTTAAATTCATCATGCCCTATTCTTTGGGAGGCCTCTATAAGGAAGGCCACATCCATGTAATATGCCTGAAGAGAGACATCTCCTTGTCCAAAAGTCACAACTGGTTCTTCTCTCCTGCCATGATTTTCATATCCTGTAACAGAATAACTCAAGTCACTGTTCCTTACAGAAAAGAAACTCCCAGACTTGGGTGGCAAATAACTGGTGTGAGGCATTGCCTCACTCCATTTCCATACCCATAGCAGACATCACTAATCAACCACAGAACTTGTTCCCCAATGCATTTGCCAATCTGTCATCCCATAGTGCATGCAGAGCTATTGCCATTTGATACATGTTGTCAACAAAAAGAAACCTATCTGCTAACACATTTCAGATCTTTTGTCAGTGTATTGATTATCCCCAACTATTTTTTATGAGTGAAATATATTTTTTGAGCAAAATATATTTATTGAGGGAAAGAAAGCTCCTTTCTGAAAGAGGGGCAGAAGAGGGGCCCGAGTGGGTTGTTCCCCAGAAGCTGTCTCTTTCAGGGACTTTTATAGAGGAAAACCATGCGGTGAGGCAGGTCTAAGGTGGTGGAGAACATGGGAACTTGCTTAGGTGAGCATGAGGTGGGACAAAACTATGGTCAACCAATGAGATTACAAGCACCATTGCTCAGGTAAAATTGAGTAAGTCCAGGACCAAACGGGGAAGCGAGTCACATAGCAAGCTGAACAGAGTCTCTTCCTGTTCCCCCAACTATTTTGATGTGATATATGTTTAGTGGATTTCACATGATTGCAAAACGTGAAGCAGACATTTCCATCTACTGAGAGATTTAATTATATTTAGTGATAAAAAATTATAGATGATAAAGTAACATTAATTGGTGGCACAAACTCATACACCTTTATGCACATATCCATAAAACACTGCACGAAGTGATAGCATGAGACAAAGTATACATAAGTGTTGACGTTAGAATGTAATGTTGTGCAAGACATTATATACTTTAAGACTTTGGTGTTCAAAAACCTGCTAGATTGCAGACAGTTTATTAGCCCATGATGAGATAAGGAACTTGCACTGTGATACAAGATGACTATATTACTAAGCACTGATTAGTTCAGCTGACAATGGTCTTCTCACAGCAAGACTTTCTCGAAGAAGAAGAAGAAGAATAGAGTTCTACAATTTACATTTGGACGTAAGCTTATTGTATTACAGACCAGCACTTCAAGTAACGCTCCTCCAAAGCTATGGGATTCTGAAACCAGCCTATAGTCATGGGAATGATAGCTCATTAGTGAGGTCACAACAGGAAATGCTAGCTCAGAAAGACAGGAAGCACATGACCAATGTTCTTTTCTTCCATTATAGAAGCATGTCTGAAACATAATAAAGCAATAAAAATAGTTTTAAACAGCAGAAGATGTACTGATCTCTGTTCTTGCCAATGTTCTTTTCTTCTATGATAGAAGCATTTTTTTCAAAAGCAGTACTGAAGTGATAGAAGCATGTTTGAAACATAATCAAGCAATACAAATATTTTTTAAATAGCAGAAGATGTACTGATCCCTGTCCCCAGCTCTTCACTGGACGCTTTTACATCTATTATTGTACTTATTTCTCATAATGAATCAATTAGTCTTTATTAATGCTATAAAATCTTAATACAGAAATAGAATGCAACAAACACATGTTACTAATAGGGCCAATGCTTATTAGTCAATGTTTGAGCACTCAATGAGGCAGCCCACCATTACTGAGGTAAGCTCCATATTACCTTTTTATCTGTTGTTGAATTTGACTCTCTAAATTTTTGTTTAGAATTTTGCATATGTATTTATGAAGAGTGTTGATCTATAGTCACTCTTTCATATACTATTTTTGTCTGATTTTGGTATCAGGTAATCTCTCTTCAAAGAATGAACTGGGAAATATTTCCTCCTCTTTAATTTCCTGGAAGAGTTTGTGTAGAATTGGTATTAGTATAGCCTCAACATTTTCTTCAATTCATCAGTAAAATCATTAGTGCCTGGAGTTGCTCTATGGGAAAGTTTGAACTACATATTCAATCTCTCTATTAGGTATAGCCTGTTTAAGCTATTACTTCGTGAGTGAACTTTGTAATTTGTGCATTGTAAGAAATTGCTGGTTTTCACCTAGGCTGTCTACTTTATATGCAAAATTGTTATGTCCTGGATTATCATTAATATTTTCTAAGTTCTTTGTTCATTAATATAAGTTCTTTCTTCATTAATATCTATAGAATAAGGCTCCTCTCTGTCATTCTATTGGCTATCTGTGTCTATTCTCTTTTTCTGGTGAGTTTATTTATAGATTTATCAACTTTATTAGTTTCAAAGAAGTATTTCTTGATTTTGTTTTTTATCTTTGCTTTTTCTTTTCTATTTTGAATTCTACTTAAATTTTATTACTTTCATTTGTTTGTCTTGAGTTTAATTTCTTTTTCTTTTTCTGAATTCTTAAGACAGAAGTGAAGTAATTGATTTGAAGCCTTAATCAATATAGGCAATGCTACAAATTTCCTTGTAAGTATTGCTTTCTTTTTTATTTTATTTTCTTTTTTCTTTTTTTTTTTAGTATTGCTTTCTTATAGTCATATCCATTCTGATGTTGTATTCATTTTCATTCATTTCAAAATATTTTTTAAGTTCTTTGTTCAGTTTGCATGTAGTTGAGCATTTTTCAAAGATCTTCCTGTTACTGACTTTTTATTCAGTTTACATAGCTTAGGTGAAATACAGAAATTTCATGTGGTGCACATATTACCAAAAGTCACTTGGGAAGAAATAACTTAGCCTATACTCAATAGATTGAAATTGTAGTTCAAATATTCCCATAAAAAAATTTTAGACACAGATTACTTTACTGGTAAATCTGACAGAATATCCAAGGAATAAATAATTCCAATTCTATGCAAACTCATAGATTAATTGGAATCACTTAAAATCTTGAATATTGTTTTACAGCTCATGACATTATCTTGATGAATGTTTCACGTGTGTTTAAAGAGATTCTATTCTGCAACTGGATAGAGCATTCTATAAATGTAAGCAAGGTCAAATTAGCTGATAGTGTTATTCAAACCTACTATAATCCTGCTAATTTTATGTCTAGTTTTTCTGTCAGTTATTAGGAGAGAATATTGAAACTCATCAAACTCATCAACACTCATTCTATTGAAAAATATTTTTGCTGCTTGACTTGTGGTCACTCTTATAGCTATATTTTCAGCTTTGCTGATTTTTTTTGTGGCCAAATCTAAATTGCCATTAATTTCCTATCCAGTGTATTGTTCATCTTAGATATTATACTTCTTATCTTCACAAATTCCATTTGAATCTTCTTTTTCATGTATTTGGTACCGGGTCTCACTATGCAGTTCAGACTTGTAGTGATCCTCCTGTTTTCAGCCTCCCCAGCACTGGGATTACAGGCGTGCCCCACCATGCCTGGTCTTGGTGGCTGGCTTGGTGTGCCCGCAGTGGGGCTGGTGTAGTGTGCGATACTGGGATTGATTCCTGGTCCTTGCACTTGCCTAAGCAGGCACTTAGACTGCTGAGCTATCTCTGCAGCCCTGAATCTTCTATTATTATCACTTTTATCATTATCACTATTATTATTATTAGTCTTTTTTGAGGCAGGGTTTCACTATGCAGCTCAGGCTGGCCTTGAACTCACTTTGTAGCCCAAACTGGCCTCAAATACACAACAATTCCTCTGTATCAGTCTCCTGTATGCTAGGATTGCAGGCATGCACCACTATAACCAGACTTTCCTTTTTTTTACCTTCTGTGTCTCTACTTGTTTTTGTGACATGTGGAATACAGTTAGGATAATTTTTAATATACTTAATATATTTTTCTGATAATCATAATATCTATGCCAGTTCTGATTTCTTTTTGAGTGATTATACTCTTCATTGCAAGTCATATCTTCCTGCACCTTTCAATGCCAGATATCATAAAAGGTTCGTTGTTGGGCATGGGATACCTATATATTCATGTAAACGTTTAAGAGCTTTGTCCTAGGAGGGAATTAAGTTACGTGAGAAGAGTTGGGTCATTGAAGGTCCAGCTGTTATGATTGGTTAGGTGAGTCCAGAGTACTGCTTAACTTAGGGCCAATTATTTCCTATTATTGAGACAAGACCTTTCTGAGTTTTCTTTCAACTACTCTGTGAATATGAGTTTTTCCAACCTTGCTGGTGAATAAAGGCCCTGTGCAAGGGAAGGGCTTGATGCTCCTTTCGGATGGCTCTTCCCCAAGCTTCAGACAGTGTGTGCTCACATGCATACGCAGTCAGCGTTCTGCTGGTGAATCCATGGAGACCTTCTGCAGATCTCAGACATTCTTTCTCAGTAGGTCTCTCCTCTCTGGACCTCTGTTCTGTGAACTGCTAACCCTTTGGTGGTCTCCCTGGACTCTCAGCTTTGTCTCCTCATCTCTGGGAGTTCACTAAGATGCACCTGAATTCTCCCTTCCCACATGGTGGACTGGAAATCTCCCAAGGTAGTAAACTAGAACAACAGTAGGGTCTCCTGATTGGTTTCCCATTTCTCAGGATCACTATCTCAAATTTCCTAATGTTCAGTGTCGTTAGAAGTGTTGGTTATTTCAGTCAGAAGGTATATCTGGGTGCTTTATTCCAATTTGGGTAGAAAATGGGGGGAATGACTGTCACATCTGAAATGCTCCACAGGCTTTTCCTTTTCCGAAGGATTAAGAATTAGTCATGTACGTACCAGATCCTTCCTTTATTAATGCATCTATAGCCCTGAGCATAAACATGTTTGACATGTATGGGCCCTCCCATTCTCCACCAGGAGCCCAGTTTCCTACTTTTCTTAGAATTTCTCATGGAGTTGGAGGTCCCTGATCAGGCTACTAGCTATGAAACAAGAGGTGAATAAAACAACACCTGTGTTATATTCTTATTTGCTATTGATAGTGCACAATGCACATCAGCACCAAAAACTTACCTAGCATTCTCAACCATAGTGTGTTAGGAACTATGAAGATTAATTATATGGACATTGCTGCCTTTGGAAGCTTAGGTTTCTGGGCTTGACTATTGTCTGCTCTGCCCCTAATATATCTGTTTTCCAACAATAGTACTTC